TATTCTTATTGCGTGAAATTAAATTTTTCACGTGCATGAAATTAATGGTCCACCCCAATTTAACATGCAAATAACACTGTTTAAAATTATATTAAAAAGTTCTTGTGTAGAAATAAAAATTACAAATTACAAGTTACACCACTAAAAGCTATATAATTTTTTTTACAAAACAATAGATCACAAGAATATTTTATCTTATTTAATGATCAATGAAAACATGTATATTAACAAACACATAAGTTGTCGAGAAATTCTACTAGTGATCGAGACAAAGAATTAATTTGGGATGAAAAGAGTAAAAATATACACTTATTCGAAGTACTCCGTATATGAATATGTAATTTTAATTAAAAGACCACATTTTATCTTGGCCACTAGCCATGCTAAACGGATAAATCCGAATTTGATTTCTGGCTAGTAGATTAAAAGACATACAATAGCTATACTTAGCATGCATACTGCCTTTGCAATTATCAGTCGTAAGTTCACATTTTACTAGTCAGTCTATGATTATAATTCAATTCACTTTATTTCAGATGATCTGAATGTCTAGTCGATTATGAGATGACCTTAGAGAATGTGACTCATCCCACATTTTTACTCCCTCCATCTTGAAAGTGATAATTTGTGTTAATTTTGGTTTATTTATATGTTTATTTGTGTGTTTGTATTGATTATTTCCTCAAACATAGTTATTTCCTCTCGTCCCTAAATAATCACAAATGTGCATTCTTGATATTATTTTTTTAAATTATGACTCATCTATCCTAAACATTATATCATATCATATAATAAGGTAAGGCCAAATTGCTCTCGTAACCTCTATAGTTTGGAAAATGAGCATTAATACACCTTCTATTTTCAAAATTTATTTCTAAAATCTCATATGGTTTCAAAATCTTTAACACACACCCTCTAATCATTTTAAGATCATTTTCCGGTCCTCTTCTGGTAAAAAGGGGGCATGCGGCATTAATATTGGTGTCTATTCTATAAACTACATGGGGCAATATAGCTCATTTCGTATTTATCATTTTTATTGTATTTCTCCATTTTTAATTATTTTTCATCTCTTGATTTCCTTTGTTAGAAAAGCTTTTTTAAATTTCTATTCTACTTTTTAATAATGTTTTGAAAAAAATCAAAATCGTTTGTATTTCAAATAAAAATTAAAAATTAAAAAAACGACAAAAAAAATTGGAAATTAAAAAAAGAAAATTTTGAATAAAATAAAATAAAAATAAAAAAATGGAAAAGCAAAAAGAAAAAATAGAACATAAAAAATACTCTATACAAAAAGAATTTTTAGAACGTCTAAAAAGGTTATTAGGATTGCAATGTCCAAAATTTAATATTCATTTTTATTTTTTCTTTTCTTTTATTTTATATTGTATTCCACTTTTTTTGAAATTCCCAAAAAAGGTTTTATTATTAAATTTTTGGAAAAAAGAATAAAAAGTGAAGTATATCTTAATTGTGTTTGATTTCAAACAAAAACACTTTTAAATTTAAGAATAGTATAAAAACAATTTTAAAAATAATAAAGAAACCATCATAAATAAAAGAAAAAAATACTGAAAAGAGGATAAATTAAAAAATAAATGGAAATATAGAAATAAGGATTGATGCTTCCCATGATTTGAAAAATAAACATCAATGCACCCCTCTTCGCCAGAAAAATGCCACAAAAATAATTAGATGGGGGTGTGGGTGTAAGATTTGAAAACACGATAATTTTAGATTTAAGTTTTTACAACGGATATGCCATTAATGCTTAATTTCTAAAATACAGAGGTTACAGGGTCAATTAATTTGGCTTATAAAGTAAGAGAAAAATTAGAAAATAATAACACGATTACACATTTTTAAGGCATGCCTTTTTTCTTCTTTGAAAAGTTTTATGAAAGGGAGAAAATGTATCAAGACTATATTCTAAGATAAACCTAATTATATTGAATTTATATTATAATTTAAGAGTATCATTAATTGACCAAAAAAATCAAAACATGTAGTTTTTCTAGGATAGAGTTAGGGGGTGTATTGAATCGGGAGTCTATAGGATTTTTTTGGATTTTTAAAATCTGAGTGTATTCAATCTGAAATTTAAAAAGTCTTTAAAAATCTTGAGGTATTCAATTGTGATTTTTCAAAGTCTTTAAAAATATTAAAGTATTCAACTTGGATTTTCAAAAGTCTTTAAAAATTTTGAGGTATTCAAGAGTCTTTGAATTTTAATAGTCTATGGATTTTGTTGGATTTTCTTTCAAAAAATGCTTACATTTTCACTCAGGGAAATCTCTTCTCACAATCCTAGATTTCGGACTTCCATCCACTCACATCCGGCGTCCGTCAATCTTTTATTTCTTTGCTTGGCCTTCGTCGACTGTTCATGTAATTCGGCATATGGTTGCCGTTCTTCTTCTCCACCGATGAATTCCTGGAGATCTGAGTCGTGGAGGTGCAGCTTGTCGCAGCGGAGATCGGAACTAGGGCTCAAAGACAAACGGGTCGGGTGAGGCGGCGGTTTGGCGAGAATCCTTTTGGTGACGTTGTCCTTGGCTGAAAATCCGAGAAGCAGGTCTTGGAGTTTGCCGACGGAGTTTGCCGCCTTCTTGTCCAAATTGTAATTTTTCAAAGCAGGTCTTGGAGTGGTCTTGAAATCGGATTCTTTCTGCTCTGCTTTTCTTCTGTTGCAAAATCTACATACGGAGTATTTTTTAAACTCTACATGGATTCTACAAAAAATCAACCAAACTCTACATAGATTCTACAAATTTTTTAAATCCACTAACTTTTTAAAATCTAAAAAAATCCTATAAAATTCTAATTGAATACACCCCCCTAGTATCACTTTTAGAAAGTTAAAATAAACTAAATTATATTAACGAAAAATGGGGCTTATTCCTACAATAATTTTTTACGACATTTGAATCGAGGTACATTCGCTCCTTCATTCGTAAAATTGATTGTTTCTACCCTATATTCCTCCACCCCACTAAACCCCTACTCCTTGCCTACCCACGTCGAGCCCTCTGCCCCCCGTCACCCTAAAAATACTAGCTAGTTAGAGCATCTCCAATCATCCAATTTTGGCTTGCTAAAAGCTATGATATAGCAAGCCAATCATTTTTTTCATCTCCAATGGTTGTGTTATATTATAGCAAGCTTGCTAAAGAATAAGGTTGACTTGCTAAATATAACAAGTTTTCCAAAATATAGCAAGCTAGAAGTTGTAAAATGGATTAGCAACTTATGGTTGGAAAATGAAACAAAAAGTTGCTTGCTATATCACTATTCACTCGCTAAAATATAAAATTAGCAAGCCAATATATTAAACATGGTTGGAGATGCTCTTAGGTTTGACATGCCAAATTAACATTTTTAGAGTTGAGATCCAGAAAGTTAGGTAGTAGGGGTCATCTCACCCTAAAACTTTGATATATACATTTTGAATTGAAAAAATAATGAATTTAATCTTAAAAAATTACTCTTTTTATTTCAAAACTATGGTCTCACTATAAAAAGTGGATGAAATCTCATATCTTTTAAAACTATTTTGTTTACAAATTTATACATAAATAAAAAGTATAAAGTACACATTAAATATTTCTTCAAATTGAAACATACAAAACGTGAGAATTATTTTTTATTTTATCATATGATTAACGAAAGATGCAATTAAACAAAAGTTATCTAGAGGTCTAACTGTAATTATAATTCTGGGATGGATGTAGTATTTAAATAATAAATAAAAAAGTTTAAAAAACAACACATTAAATTTATAGACTACACAGTCTACATTATAACTTAGTTTGATTGTTACTCAATATATTTTATGTCTCACACTTTCACTTTAGATTTTATTTTTATCACTTTTAAATATTTCATTCAAAAATCTATTCCTTTAATATATGAATTGGTGTCTCTATTGTTACTTTAAATTAGAATCCTAATATTTTTAGTTGGGGTCCTTAATTACACAACTCTTAAAAAAATAAAATTTTAACTTAAAATCAAAAAGTAGTAGGGGCAATGCCCCCGACTACATATGAATGGATCCGCCCCTCGCAGGGAGTGTGTTGAGGGAGGGCATGTGCGGTGGTTTAGACATGTAAGAATAATCAATTTTATAAATAGTTACCATAAGTATCTCAAGCGAGTGTTGTACAATTATTATAACTTTTTGTCTTAACATTAAGGTTCATTATTAAGAAAATGTCACAATATTAGAATATACGAGTCCGCGTGAAGCACAAGATTAAAACCAGAGAGAATAAAATCAATAGGCTTAATCCTTAGTTTGCAATGTATAGGACAATTATTTTTGGACAAGAATAGTAAATATTTTATATTAAAAAAATATAATTTCGTCCTAAAAAATTTTTGTTTATGAGATTTGACTGATATTATTTTGTATTTAATTTATTTGATTATACATATACAAAAAAAGGATTGACATTACTATATTATTTTATTAAATGTTTAATAAAAAGAGGTAAAATAATAAAAATTTGACTATATAAATAATAATTAGGAAGAAAATGTAAGAATCGGGAGAATAGTGGAAAAAATGCTATATTATTAAAATGTTCCAAGCTCTTGAGAACAATAATTGATGAAGATAAAAAAAGTGAAATTTACACTGAATAGGATTAAAATATAAGTTAAAATGATATTAGATATTGATATAGAAATAATTTTATAAGATTTATTATATGAAATATTTTTAAAATATTATTTTATCTGATTGACATATCATATATATTTTATTTAATTATAAGTTAAAAATTAAAATTAATTGACTGAAAAAAAGAACAAATACCAGAGATAACGAATAATAAAAATAAGTTTTTTTAAAAAAAAGTGAAATGCCCAAAAGAGGTTAGTTGGGTAACATTTGGATGGATAGTTTGACCTCTGGGCTTAATGCCCCAACGGCCCAACCATGTTCTTTTACGGAGCCTTTTTTATAAAAGGAAGCCGTCTTTGCGTAGCCCGTCGAGTCTTAGGGTTCGTTTCCGCCTAACTCTCGCCTCCCGCCTCCCGCCTCCCGCCTCCGGCGACGATCCATGGTAATCTTTCATCTCTATTTGTTTCATCGATTCCATTATTTTTCAAAACATTCCACTCTAAGTTTTTAGAAAATTAGGATTACTTATTTGAATTCCTCTCTAGAGCATTAATGCAATTTCCTGTTTATCGCTGTCAAAATTGTTACCATTGCCAAATGCTTGATTCAGTGCATTCTTTTTGGCGCAGGCTAAGAGGACCAAGAAGGCCGGTATAGTGGGGAAGTATGGTAAGTTTTTTCGCAATGTTTTGTATTTTATGTTTCCTTTACCCGTTTTGATTTCCATTCTTGAAGCTTGGAGACTTTGACCTTTGCTATGATCTTGCTATTTCAATAAAGGTACCCGGTACGGTGCTAGTCTCCGGAAACAAATTAAAAAGATGGAGATTAGCCAGCACATGAAGTACGACTGTGAGTTTTGTGGGAAGGTATGTGCCCATATATTGCCCATGTTTGGAATCAGCGTTAGAGGTTAGCGTTAGAATTTTGAAAAGGTTATCCGACGGTAGCCTTTAGCGTTAGCGTTTTCAGAATTAATCTACACTATTTAAATTTTATCCAAAACGCTAAAGCTAATCGAGAACGCTCAAACAAGGCCATAATCTTTCTACATTTCACATTATTAACAATATGTTTGGCTTGAGGATTTATGGAAAAAAGAAAAATGCTAAGAAATGGAAGAGAAAGCCAATGAAACCCAAAATTCTTTATCCACTGTGGGTGTAGTGTGCAGTGAAGAGAAAGGCTGTGGGTATATGGGGATGCAAGGATTGTGGCAAAGTCAAAGCAGGAGGGGCATATATCTTGAAGTAATTTTTCAGAACTATCCAGCTCTTTTGTTATGCCTTTTCAACATTGCATATTTCTAACATTTTTTTTTTCATTTTTTCTAAAAAAACTTGCAATAGCACTTCTAGCTCGGTGACGGTCAGAAGCACGATCAGAAGACTCAGGGAGCAGACTGAGAACTGAGTTGCATGACCTGTTCGTTTTCTTGGTTATGATATTTATCTATGTTTCGATATTCGACTTTTGTACTGTAAGTTTCCTATTTTGATTGCGTCTTTGTGGTATTCAGACTATTTTTTTGATAAGATTCTCTTGTAAGGTTGGTCGAGCTAACTGGTTTGACATTCATGACTTAGTATGGTTTGATGCACTCTGTTTAGTGCCATCCTCCCCTTTGTTGGTATGTGTATTTTGTTTCTGTACCCACACCCATACTTGATGCATCTCACTTTTGTCAAATGGTCTTTGAGTGGGTCTATGTGTGGCTATGTGTAGGATAGTTGTTAGGGCAGTGAGGCATATTGGGAATGTGATATTGTGGCATTTACACAAACACTTGTATATATGTAGGGGTGGACACAGGTCGGGCTTGGCGTGCCGAATAGGGTCTCATGTTATTTGGAGTACCCTTTGCGATCGGTGGAATGCGGGTTGGGTCCACCAGGTTGTGGTTTGGATATGTCAGAATTTTCAATTGGATTATTGAAAATAGCTGCATAACATTCACCAGAATAATTAAAATTGCATCACATTCATGTGCATTACCCACTGCATCAGTCAACATTTTCATATTCCAAATGAACAAAAGAGATTACAACTGAAGAAAAAAAGGAAGTTAGAATCTTAAAGAATAAAATGAAAAACCAGAGTTTCGTGATGGATCTATTTCTAATAGAGAGGGATAAACTAGGTAATTCTGGGAGGAGTGATAATGCCACCTAGCAGCATTATAAGGAATGGTATACAAACAAATGTGAATAAACTTGAAAGACTAATGCTCGAAGAGCAAGGCACAGAGATTTAAATCACTCATCGTAATTATCTCCCTTCAAGACAACCTGGGTTAAAATTATTCCCGGATTATCACTTAGAGATAAATCATACGGTGAGATACGTCGATGTTGCAACAAAACGTCATCATCTTCATGCTCCTTGTGTTTCTTTCCCGAGACTATCTTTTTGGACTGCTCCTCAGACATCGCGGCGGTTGACCGAGTAGCAGCGGTACACGGCTCAATGACGGTCGGCGAAGAGGCAGCGACGGTCGACCGAGTAGCAGTGGTGTACGGCTCAATACCGACCGGCCAACAACAAGAAATTTTAGGTTTTAGGTTCCGATACCATGAAAGAATGATATTTTGGAAGAATTTCTCTTGTATTTCTGATATTCATAATATGAATAAAGGCTGTATATATAGGATCCCACATGCCAAGAACTCTATATGAAAACTAAATATAAAATGAAAGAAATATGAAAGGAAATCAACACATATCAAGAAACTACCATGTTATATTCTCTCATTTAACATCTTTCTTCGGAAAATGATTAGAGGGGTTTGTGTGCAACATTTTGAAATCACGAGAACTTTAGAGATAAGTTTTGAAAACAAGAGGATATTGATACCTATTTTTCAAACCGCAAGAGTACTGATGAAGGCTAGCTCTCTCTTGTATATAGTGTTGTATCTTATTCTGCCCTTAAAATAAAAGCCAATTTTTCAAAATTGCATTTTAGATTTAGTCCCAGAGTCATAGCTTTTTATATACTAATAACCAAATGTGCAACTGCAATTGGACAATAGTTGATGACGTGGCATTGGTTGTAAATATTTAACAAATAAACAAATATTTTTAATTAACTATTGATGGAAAATAATGATTGGTTGAACAAAAATTTGCATGATTATTATTTTCTTCATGTGTTATTTGATTATTACATTTTCTTTTACCACAGAGAGGATAGTTGTTAGTAGATTCTATTTAAAAAATAGTCCACACACACATAGACGATACACAGAATGTGATGGGTTTATTGTCATAATGCATACAAGTCATCCATGTGAGGTTTAACATTCTAGAGGGTTTTATAGTCATTGTCCACACCTTCACCATTGACTTGATGTTTTTTATTGATGTTAAGAGATCACTGTTTTGATAAAATTGATACTCCCTCCGTTCCACAAAACCCTTCCGGTTTTGAGTTTGGAGAAAAATAAGGAAAGTGTAATTTTGGTTGACTTTCCAATTTTGTCCCTGATGTGATGGAAAAAAGTAAGATGTGATAGTTTGGTTATTAGTGAAAAAATATGATGTGATAGGTAAGATATGAAAAAGTAGGGGTAAAAGTGGTTTTTTAATAGAAAGTGGAAGTGTTTTGTGGAAAGCAAAAAGAACGAAAGATGAAGAGTTTTGTGGAACGGATAGAGTATCTTTTATTCTTTGCTTACTTAATACTCACTCGTCCCAAAAAGATCTTCTTGTTTCATTTTTTGCGCGTCTTATAAAACACTTCTATCCCGCCTCAAATGCAAAAAAAAACTTTCAAAACAATTTCTACTTATAATAAATGAGAAATGTGGTAAATTTTAGGCATTTTAGATGTGTATAAAAGTGTTTCATAGGATGCGCAAAAAATAAAACAGGAAGATCTGTTTGGTACGGATGGAGTATTATACTTTGCATTATTTTCTAGCTACTCAGAACGCTATTGATGGTTCATCCATGGAAATCTGAAGAAGTGGAAGAGTTGCATTATACAATATAGTACTCATTATCACTCGAGCGGCCAAAGTACCACAAATCATCAATGCCATGTTTGTATGTTTTTTAGTTATCAATACGTGTGGTTGTGTAGTTTCATCGATTCTTTTGTTTTACTCTTAGGGTCCGTTTGGTATGCGGAATTGACGGAATTGGAATTGAATTGGAATTAAAATTTCATGTAATTCAATTCCATAAAATTGAATTTTGTCAATTCTAAATCATTTTTTGCACTATCAATTCCAAATCCACATAATTTTTGTGCTATCAAACACCGGAATTGGAATTGAGATCCTCAATTTCAATTCCATAGTTTGAATTCCATATACCAAACGGAGCCTTATGCATAAGATAGTTGAAAGGTTTTATCTGCTCTAATATATGCTCTAATTTTATCTCGAACTCTCCAATATATGCCCACTTATGACATAAAAAATAATACACATGACCAAATTATTTATTTAGAAATAATATCCTCGATCTCAATTTATTATTATTTAGACATACAAACTTCACACACTCATTTGTGTATGATCTTAATTATAATTGAGACAACCCCATTTCAAATATATCACAGTACGTTTCATTTCAAGATATAGAGTTCAACTTAGTTTTTTCTAAGTTCATTCAGAAGTTGATTGGTGCTGCAAAATTTTGAGCCCCATGTACCTGCATTTGAAAATTGGGGTAGAGAATTTAAAAATTATATCAATGTTTTTATTAAAAAAAATAAAAGTAAAAATATTACTCCCTCCGTCCTATAATGATTTTCCCGGTTCATTTTACGAAGTTTGACCGACTTTATTTTCAATTCAATTTATTTGATTGTAGGTGTAAAATTAAAAAATAAAATTTATATATTTAAAAACTACATCAAAAGTTCTACAAAACAAGTGGTGACAAGACTATATTATTTTATCAAATACCTAATGAAAATAGGTAAAGAAAGTGATTAAAGTTTGATCGGGTAAAAAGTGTGTGGGAAGAACATTATAGGACGGAGGGAGTATATGATTTTATCAAATGATTAAAGAAAGTGATTAGATATTAGTCATGTAAATAGCAAATAATATGAAATTTAAACTGAAAGAGAGGGAGTACCTTCCAAACATCATGGTAGTTGCTTGAGGATTAGTTCCAAGGGCACTTGAAAATATGGAGCCATCAACTACTCGCAAAGCGTCGACACCGATCACTTTGTAATCGCGATCGACGACGCTGTCCACTCGGCACCCGCCGTGGTAGTGATATGAGGAAAACACGTTGTCCACACAAAACTGCTCCAACGAAGCAGACCCGACGCGGTGTTTTGGCCTCTGGTTGATGGGAACGGACGACATCAGGTCCAAGATAGATTGGAACGAGGCCGAGGGATTTCGAATCGAAGCCAAGGCCTCGGACTCGAAGACTTTTCTGAGGACTTCCATGCCCCGCACACACGTTCGGAGGTCCCTCGAGTCGTGGAAGTAGTTAAAGGTGACCGTTGGGTTGTCATTTGGGTCCTTGCTCTTGAGTTCCATATGCCCTTGGGAGAAAATTTTGCTCACCTTTGAAGCTAAAACCCCACCTTGCATCTTCATATCCGGGAAGGACATGTCAACGCCAGCTTGGGTGAGGACTTCTATGGCTTTGGGGACCAGAGTCAATCCACTCACTGTTTCAATGTAATTTCCAGAACCGGTTATGCCCAAAACGTCCGAGAGTGAGGCCTCAATGGGCCTAATGGATGGAATTAGGATTGCATTCACTGGGTTGTCACCCATCAATTGCCCAACCATTGGTTGATCCAGCACTACATCTATTCCGTGGGCTTCGAGATGATTCGACGGCCCAATGCCGCTCAGCATCAATAGCTGTGGGCTTCCAATTGCACCCGCCGAGAGAATGATCTCATTCTTGGGCCCTCCGTTCAAGAACGCCGTGTGATCATTCCCTTTCGAGTCTTTAAAAAGAACTCCATGGGCCGTGGGTTTCCCCCCTGCATTGTTTAATTAATTACATATATCTCATTCAATTCATTATTCATTCACATGAATATTATTTTACATGCATGAATAACTAATGGAGAATTTACCTAAATACGACTAAAACATAATGACTTTCTATACTTTTATTTCTCAATGTAGGACCATTGGTCATTATCTATTACTCATTATTCAACTAAATGTCCAGCATCACTTGGACATTATTTTTTCCACTAGACATTATTAAATCGTATTTAGAGAATAAAAAAATTTAAGTTATACGTTAGAAAATGACGTATTCATTGCAAATTTTAATTGACCTGGTGAAGGGGTCTTGAATAATATTTTGTGGGCCACGGCATGGAAGTGAAGAGTGATGTTAGTGTGGTCGGCATACTCCAAGAGATCTGCAGCGCTGTGTCTGTACCCGTCCCCATCAAATAGGGAATTCCCTATTTTGGTCCCCACTAAGTGCTCGTAAGTCCCTCCGTTGTACGGCACCACCCCGGCGGCCTCCACCAACCCGTCCCTCACCGCCGTCTGCCACTGCAACAATGTTTTGATCCGGGAAGTCAGCTTCCTCTCGACCCACGAAAACGACTGGTTCACCAAGTGGGGGTCCCACCCCTCCTCGGCTACCTCCTCGTTGCTTGCTCTCGAGTACACTCCCCCGTTAATGGCCGACCCGCCGCCCAGAGTGCGGGCCCGCGTCAGCTGCGTGCCGTCCGTCGACACCGAGTGTTGTGCGGCTGAAGTTGGTGACGTGTCGTAAAGCAACGGCACCAAACCGCTTTGGTGCATGATGTTCGGGTTGCGGTACGGCAAGCCGCCCCTCTCTAGTAGGAGCACTCTTGCGGAGGCGGAGAGCGTTGCCGCCAAGCCACAACCGGCGGTTCCGCCTCCAATGACTATGTAGTCGTAGTGCCCCGCTACGGCCGGTGCTGACGTTGCATCTTTTGCAAAAGAGTTGTAAGGCGCTATATAATCAAAACACAACAAGCAAAGTAAGGCATTATATATATATATATATTATTCCCCCCTTCACTCAGTATTTGTTCATTTTTCATTTTTTTCGGTCAAAATTAGTGAATTTTGACCTTAAATTAAAAAAGAATGATACGGAGTATTAGATATTTATACAAAAATAGTTTTATTACGTTTATTATACTCCCTCCGTCCCAAAAAGTTTGTTACGTTTAGAAAAAACTGTATCCCATAAAGTCCGTTACATTTCTATTAAAAAATCACTTTTACCCCTTACTTTTTCATACCCTACCTGTCACATCATACTTTTTTTCTAATAATCTACCCATCACATCCTACTTTTACCCAGCATATCAAGGGTATTTTTGGAAAGTCAATACCAAAATATCTTTCCCTTAATTTCCCAAAAAGTCAAACCGTCTCATTCTTTTTGGAACGGAGGGAGTATCAAATATTTTCAAAATATTATTTCATCTAACTAATACTCCCTCTGTTCTAAAAAAGAGTTCCTACTTTGAAAAAGTGAAAAAATAAGGAAGTGTTAAATTATAGTTGACTTTCAATTTTGTTCTTGATGTGATGGGTAAAGTAAGATGTGATGAATAGATTATTTGAAAAAAAGTATGATGTAATAGGTATGGTATGAAAAAATAAGGGTAAAAGTGGTTTTTTAATAGAAAGTGGAAGTGTTTTGTTGGAGGTGAAAAAAATGAAAGAGAAAATGTTTTTGAGAACGGAGGGAGATACAATATATATTTTATTTAATTATTAGTCAAAGATTGAAAACAGTTGACCGAAAAAAGTCAAAAGTGGACAAATACTCTGGGACAGGTAATATAATGTTATAAGGTAAATTTTACTGTCTTAATAGCTTCAATTAAAAATGTGCATTCAAAATAACAGCAGTAAGAACTATTTAAAACAAATGAAAAATAGATAAAATGATTCTCATTTTTTTAGATTTGGAAAGATTGAAGTATTGAGCCAATAATATTTACGGAGTAGTAAGTAATTAAAAACTGCTTTTTTACCTTTCTCTGCAAGAGAAGATACAATAAGTAAAAGGAAAAATCCAAGAGAAGGGGCAACAAAGGGAAAGCTCCTCCCGAAGGCCATCATATATATCTATTCATATATATATATATATATAGAGAGAGAGAGAGAGTAAAATATTTCAACACAATATGATAAACAAACATGCAATTAACACTAATTTCTTTTTGTAAGGACTGGCTATATATAGAGAAGAATTTATACTCCGTCCATCTAGCCTAAATTCTTTAGGCTTATTATTCACATGTCAAGCTCAATCTTTTCTCCTTACATAATTTTATACACAACTTCGTCCATTCCATAAAATCTTTCTCTTTTTTTTCATCTGTCTCAAAAATCTTTTTTCATTTTTTAAAAATTAACTTTTAGCACCACTAATTATTAACCTACTTATCACATCACACTTTTTTCCTACTAATCTACTCATCACATCTACTTTTACATATCACATCTAAGGACATTTTTGGAAAGTTCACACTAAGATACACTCCTCTTGGATTTCTTAAAAATTAAAACAAGAAATGTTTTGTGGGACGGAAGGAGTGTATTTGATAAAATAACATACTGATCTCATCTCGTGATATTTCTTTACATAAAATGATCGAATTTTTTTCGCGGGTCGATATGTTAGGGTAGATTAGTACGCAATGAACTCAGATAATAAGGTCGATATGTGTCGTGATAGCGATTTTATGTTTAATAAAAGCATTCCCGTTCTCATTAAGTTCTACAAATTTTAAAAATTACATCGATCAAACATCATTTAACTTGTGTCAAGAATAATCCAATAGCAAATTATACCGACATAGCAAATTATACCGACTATATATATGTTAGGTGCTCTATTTCACAAAACAATGTGTAACGAGATTGGGGAAGTTAGATGTGAACATCACATATTTTATATTTAGGAAAATTAAGTTAAATTCTCCCAGACAAAAATTGTTCTGGCCCCCAACAAAGAGTCTGGTTTTAGTGATTGAAAAAAAGAGTTGGATATTTAAAAATACTAGAAGAAAACGAAAAAATTGAAGAACTGGAAGAAATTAGAAATAATTGGAATGAACTGTAAAAAACTAGAACAAACTGGAAAAACAAAATAAAAATTCAAAAATTTAATTCAGTGTATTTTGCATAGTATTCTTATTATAAATGTTGTTGGTATCGTTAATATTATTATTATTTCTATTATTATTTTTATTATTATTCATAATGGGTAGTAAAATAAATAAAATTGAACCATGTGAATATTGTACCTGTCATTTAATTAGTGAGAGAGAGAGAGAGAGTCTATTCTAATTATTATTTTTAAATTTAAAATTTTGGTTTTTTTCAGGATTAAATTACATTAATAAAATATTCATAATTCTTGAAGCATAGTTTAGTATCATATAAATTTAAAAATATCAATTTTCTTAATAAAATTGTACTTTGTATTATTTATATTAAAAATGGAAGAAAAATAATAATGAGCGAGTGTGAATCCGAAAATAAGGACATGGGAAAAATAAAAATACAAATATTGAAATAACTTAGAAACATTACTTATAATATTAATAGTGATAATACATAAGAACATTTTATCTTTAGAGTCACTATTCAAGAGTAAAAAAGATGAGGAAAATGGGTATAGTTGACAAGACAAGAAGATATTGAAAAAAATGAGAAGAAATTATAACAGACTAGAAGGAACTGGAAAAATTAGAGGAACTAGAAAAATTGAAAAGAATTAGAAAAAACTGTAATTTAAGAGTTAAAGTTCTAAAAAACGGATAATTATGCACCCTTTCTCAAAAACAAAAAGTTAGGTTCTCCCTTTCTCAAATAAATTTATTTGATATTGAATTGTCATCCAAATGAGAGATAAGGAAATGGAAGAATACTACTCCCTCCGTCCCAAAAAATCTTTCCTGTTTCATTTTTTGTGCATCCCATAAAACACTTCTACCGACATCTAAAATACCTAAAATTTACAACATTTCTTCTTTATTGTGGGTAGAAGTTATTTTGAAAGTTTTTTTGGCATTCAAGGCGAGATAGAAGTGTTTTATGAGATGCACAAAAAATGAAATAGGAAAGACTTTTTGGGACGGAGGGAGTAACTATTTTGTTATCTAGTGGAAGACGGTAAAATCTTCAAAGGACTGGTTTCATATTTTGACATGCATATGTTCTTAGCGTCTATATTTTTTAATTCAAATTTTAAAGTTTGATGTTAGAAAACACTGAAATGAATGGAAAAAAATTATATGTTGAAAAAATAAAAAGTGTTAATAAAATCACACAGTACAATTAAATAATCATTTAAATAAATATATAAGAAAACTAATTTAGAATAAGAATGAATAATGTGAAATTTGCACTAAATAGGGCTAAAACATAATGACTTTCCTAATGTAGGATTTAAACTTTTTTATTCCCGAGATAGGACTTAATAATGACCTAGTGGAAGAAATAATGCCCAGTAATGATGGATATTTAGTTGAATAATGACTACTTGATAATGACCAAAAGTCCTACATTGGGAAATAAAAACATATGGTCCTATACTGGGAAAGTCATTATGTTTTAGTCTTACTTAGGTAAATTTGGGAAATTGCACAAATATATGTATGTGCGCAAATTAATGAAAATGTTCAAAATTACGTAGATAGCTAGTGACGTGCCCTAGTTTAATTTGCACTTAATTGTGCAAGAACCAAATAGAAAGAAAACCATGACAAACTAGTGAAAAGGATGGTTAAGAAGTGTTAGCAATCTATTTATTTGTAAACACGCTTACGTGGGGAAAACACCGTACAATTGATTGCGCGGCATATATTGCGATCAAGCAATAATACATACCACTAGATTTGTCCAAAAAATGTCAAAGATTTTTAATATCTTAATAAAATGTAGAATATGTAATTCACAATTTTCTTCTTCCTCTGAATAAATTTTAACTATATTTTTTTTCTTTTTAACCTTTTTTTGTATAAATTCGGTGAGATCAAATTGTGTCAATTAATTCCGCATGGAGTGAGTACATGGGTTAGTAACTCATATTGAGTGAGCTTTGGGCCGACCCATTACATCTCACAACCCAGGCCAGAGATAGTGGATCAATATAATTCATGTCTTGAAATTATTATGTATTATAATATGATATATATTCATACATTCTTTATTTATTAAAATATCCTCCGTATAAAATAACCACCTTCATTAGAGTTTAAACCTGTGATCTTCTTTTTCGGAGAGTCACCGTGTTGTCGCTGAATCATAATTGTTCATTGTTCACACTTTGTCACACTAATAATGAACGATATGAGAAATAGAAGTTAGTCAGTTCTACCATCTGGACTCACATTTATTTCATAAATATTACTTCAAATAAAAATGACTTAGAAGCTATATATACTCTATAAAATTGAATAGAAATACATAGTTGTCAAACCAAATGTTGCAATTATTCAGATATATATAGCTAGAAACATCAACTTAGCTATATATATATGCATAAGCTCAAGTATTAGTGGAATACCATTTCTCCTGCATCAATGATGTATGACCTGAAAATTTCAAGTGAAGTGGCATGCGATTTCTCATTTTATTGGCGTGCTCTTTGTTGTAAAATTTTCTGTCCCATATACCTTCCAAGCATCATGAGAGTGGCCTGAGGATTTGTCCCGGGCGAGTTCAATAGCGTGGAGCCATCAATGACCCGCAAAGCATCGACGCCGATAACCTTATAGTCGCGATCGACAACTCTGTCCACCTGACACCCACCGTGGTAATGCCATATGGTCGTGACGGTATCGATACAAAACTGCTCCAACGAACCAGTTGCAGACGTGAACAGTTTTGGCCTCAGGTTGACCGGAATCGCGACCATCAAGTCCAAGAGGGATTCGAAAGTGGTGAAGGGATATTTGAACGCCGAAACAGGCTCAGACTCGACGACCTTTCTGATGACTTCCATTCCTTGGACACACCTCTCGAGGTCCCTCGAGTCCTTGAAGTAGTTAAAGGTAACTCTTGGGTTCTCATTAGGGTCTTTACTTTCCAATTCGAGATGCCCTTGGGAGAAAGGCCCCTTCACCTTCTCAAAGAGGTTCCCAGCTTGAAGCTTTGTGTCTTGGAAAAAGGCTTGGTTCAAGGCTTGAAGGGCTTTTGGGCTTAAGTACATGCCACTCCCTGCTTCAATATAACTTCCAAAGTCAGTTATGCCCACCACTTGGACAAGTGAGGTCTCCACTGGCCTCACGGAAGGGACAACGATCCCATTCATGGGGTTGTCGGACATCCCTTGGCCCACCATTTGTTGGTCCAGTATTACATCTATCCCATGGGCTTTGAGATGATCCGACGGCCCAATGCCGCTCAACATCAACAGTTGCGGGCTTCCAATCGCACCCGCCGAGAGAATGATCTCGTCATTGGGCCCTCCGTTCAAGAAGGCCGTGTGTCCGACTCCTCTCGAGTCCCTGAAGAAAACCCCGTACGCTCTGGGCTTTTGGCCCAATGACGGCCTCTCAAACAAGATCTGGTGGGCCACAGCATGCAAATAGAGAGTGATCTTAGTCTCGTCGGCATACTCTAACAAGTCTGCGGCGGTGTGTCTGTACCCGCTCTCATCGAATATTGAACTCCCGATTTTCGTCCCGTGCAAATGCTCGTTTGTCCATCCGTTGTACGGACGAACTCCGGCTTCCAGAAGCCCGTCTTTCACCGCCGCCTGCCACCCCACCACATCCGGCCGGAACGCCACCTTCCTCTCCGCCCACACGTACGACTCGTTGACCATGTGCGGGTCCCACCCCGCCTCGGCCACGTCCTCGTTGCTCGCGCGGGTGAAGAACCCGGCGTTGATCGCCGAGCTCCCCCCGAGGACGCGGCCGCGGTGGAGGATCACGCCGTCCGTGGAAACGAATAGCTGGGAGGCGGAGGTGGGGGAGGCGTCCGTCAGCGTTGGCGCGAAGCCGCTTATGTGCGTCACGTTCTGGTTGTCGTACGGCAGCCCGCCACGCTCGAGGAGGAGTACTTTTGCGGCAGAGGATAGCGTCGCCGCCAGTGCACAGCCGGCGGTTCCACCTCCGATGATTATGTAGTTATAGCGCCCTGCTTCCACGGCAGCTGATGTGGCATCCTTTGCAAAAGAGGTATACGGAGCTGATGATACAAAAGATCCAAACAATTCAATTTAGAAAAAAAAAATTCTTTGTAGGACTAAAACATTCTTTACATAAATAAAGTACTCCGTATTTAAATGCTACGGATTATAAAATGTCTTTAAAATAGAATTTAAAATACTAAAAAACATCATAAAATGTCAACATGCAAAGTCATTGCATACATTTTAGATTGTCATACTTCTATTTAAGAGATCAAAATATAAAAGACCTAATTTTGATATAATTAAGTTCCTTATTTTAGTTTTACCCAGATTTGTTTTCAATTAACTACTACGTCCGCCCAAACCCGTGATTATAGTTAGGTTTTGAAATATTTTACTATTACAATGCACTATTGAAATAAAAAATAAAAATGATTCATTTAAAAACTACTCGGTATATAAAAATCAAACAAATTAAAAGTGATATGATTATATTATTTTACATACAAAAGTATATATCTCCTATGCATCTTAATTGCGCATACGTCATTTGTATTATATAAAACAAGTTAGAAAAAAATAAATAAAGGGTGAAAGATCAAAATAGAACTAAAATATAAAAAAACTAAAATAGGACTTTCATATTTTCATACAAGGTTAGATTTTGATAGTGCAAAGTTTTATTATGAGATAAAGATAATCACTCATATAGCTCATATTTTGGGTATCATAGCTAAGATTTACTTTCTTTAACAGTACACTAATATAAATCTTTAACAACATAGTACTCCCTCTGTCCTAAATTTAACTTCTCAGTTTGACCTTTGTATTTAAACTTTTTAAACTTTGACCGTATATTATGAAAAAAATACATTGAATTTTCATATAAATTTATTAGCAATATATTCATTTTGAAACATAGTTTTGAAATATATAATTTTTATAAAATATATTTATATAAAAATTGAGATATTGATGGTCAAAGTGTCGCATTGAAGACCGTAAAAAGTCAAATAAGAAGTTAATTTTAGGACGGAGGGAGTAATACTCCGTATTTCGCTATTCATTCGGAATCTATTAAAACACATAGAGTTATAGCCCCGACCAGAAAAGCAGAAACCAAACACATGACCTTTCATATGGGAGAGCCATAAGGGTATCTTAGACTACGATATGTTCTTGGCAAGATTTGCTCTTATTTTGTTTCATTTCTAATACTTGTCCTAATATTAACTAAAGCCTATCAATATTAATTCATACATACCTTTCTCTGCAGAAGAAGAAGATGATAGGATAATGATGAAGAGGAAAACTGCTCCAAGCAGAGAAGATGCATGCCACCTCCCACAAGAGGCCATTATATTATTCATTATTTTGTGTGAATTGAATGGAAGGAAGATGATCAAACAAAGTTCAAGTTAATCAAGTATATATATATGCATGTAATTAATTTATTTATTGATAATAACTACTTAATTAATTACTGGTAAACACCTCATGGTATGTACGTATATATGCACCCACAATAATTTCTCCCTAATAATTAATAAGGAGTGCAAGAGGGGATGTTACAAGTCAATATCATATATAGTGATGTGGTTGATCCTCATCTAACCATGCATGGGAACATTTAATTCTTCATCTTCTTCCTCTTTCTTTCCTTTTCATTATTTTAGGGCCTTTAGACATTATATGTGGGGTATATCAAAATGAGGTTGGAAAATACGGACTAATAAGAGAAAAGATGGTAATTATGTTGTCTATCAAAGAAATAGTTGAAATGTATGGACAAATTGAAATATATTTTATTGTGTGATGGACTTTTTTAGGATGGGAGAAGGGATCATTGGATGGGGCAATTAATAAAGTATTTTGGTTGAACCACATTAAAAAATTAAATTATATTAATCGATTGTTTAGTTTAACTCAAAAGCTTATATACATATACCGATTACTTTTCTTCCTAACTTCTCTTCAGATAGATTCTAACACTTCCTCAAATAGACAATCAAGTTATTTTGAATCTAACTGATTGACCACTTATAATAAATTTTTATCCTCAGGAAATGAAAGGATCGAACGTGCCAACACTCAAAGGAGAATTGCTGGGTATAGATTTAATTTCCAAAACAATATATTAATATGGCCCGTGCCACATGCCATTTTTTCCATTCGGAGAACTGGACTAAAGACTAATTAATGAACCTCTAGAAAAGAACTTCTAGATGGGGAAAGGGATCATTGGACTCACCAATAAAACATTTGGGTTGAACCAAATTAAAAGATGAGATCTAGTCAATTAATTAGTTCAACTCAAGATTTAATTTACCGATTATTTTCCTATTCAAATTTGAATGTGAGATAGGCTGTAACACTATCCTTTCACAAATCGAATTATTATTAGGAACAAAATCAAAGGTTCTTTCAACAACGAAATGAATAATGAGAAATAATTAAATGTCGCATATCAGTTATTCATAATGTATATATACTCGCTCTAAGGGCTTGTTCTCTTTAATTTATTTGACTTGTTCTTATCTTATTCAATTAAGTTCTGAGCAGATCCGATATGATATGATATGGTTGTAGTTATATTTAAGGTTATTTTTCATTTGATCTAATCTGATAATTCCAAAAAGGAAAAGTAATAAGTAAAATAAATATGTTGAAGAGAACAAGCTCTAAGTATGTGTAAAAAGTAAATATATATATATGAAATAAGTATTGTGTAACATGTAAATGTGTGTGTGTGTGTGTGTGTAAGGCAGATTTATTGTAAACATGTAAAAATATTATTATAATTGAACTGAATTGTTTTAATTATTAAACATAAACTTGCTATTTATAATATTTATAGGACACCTAGATCCAAATGTGTAATATATGAATTCAAAAGTGTAAAACAATCTTGAGATAATAGTGTTAGAGCATTAAACCTTTTCATCAATTCAAAAACTTGAACTTTTAGAAGAATTGACTCCTTGAAATGGTATCTGAACCACAATACCAAATTATAGTAACTAATTAAGTTTAGAAGTAAGCATTGGACTACTTTATTTGTGTAGGCAGTTTACTTCATAGAAGCCCGTGAGTCTATAGCGTGATTAGTAACGTGTTTATGATACGAATATCGTATCGGATAGGGAAGAACTTCGAGCGTCTTCGGGCTCTAAGAAAGGGGAGGCAAAGAGAGAAGGAAAACGTCACGCGTTTTCGAGCTCCAAGAAAAGAGAGACGAGAGAATAAGATAATTCTTTATTATTGATTGATTGAATACTAATAACGAAAGGTTACAATATATAAAAATGTAGAAAACCCTAATTGACCTAATGGGCTCGGGGCCATACTAAAACTCTAAACCATCAATAAATAATAATAATAATAATAATAATAATAATAAATAACTACTAAATATTAAAATATTATAATTAACTATCCGTATCATTCCCACCCCCTTAAAACCCACCTTGTCCTCAAGGTGGAGGCTCCCACTCGTGCTTCTGGACTGGAGAGATAATGTTAAACCAAAGGAGCAGTCCACTTTTTGAATCTTCAACCATCTTGGATCTGGGAGCAAACCGAGGGACATGTGAGGTAGAGCCAATACCCAGTGTAGGTTCTCTCGGTGAAACTAGGTGCTTTGTCTTGACCGCATCAACATTATCAAACAACTTAATGGCGTCAAATGAATTGAATGGGGTTGTCTGCATGCTTATTGTCTGCATCTGCCACCTTGTTGGCACCTTCTAGAAGGGCAAGCTCGTTATTATTTTCAACGACATTGGACCTCGCGTCATCTTCATTCATGAGTTCAGGCCTATTGTCCATAACATCCTCAACATGTGATTCGACGCTTGAGTCATCCCTTAATTCCTTTTCATGAGACTCAGTGTTTTGTACGGTGACCACAAAAGCGAAATTTGGTGGAGAAAGCGGGGCATTGATGAGGTTTTGGATGACATTCATCATGTTTGTTCTAAAATTTTGTAACTCCAAGGGAATCATAATTAGCAAAATTGAGGGACCATGAACCAAATCTTGTATCGTGCAAATTTTTTATTTTATTTTTTTGCTTCACAACATTATTTTAACAATTCACACGCGATCTCACCTCACAAATTTTGATCTCAACAGAAAATTAAATTTGATGTATTTATGAATAGCCTACAAATCAAGTAACAGCTGAAGAACCGACAAAGCCGCTGCTCAACCAGAAAATATCAATGGATTTATGTACATACATACTCAGCATGTTTTCTGCATATATACCAATATATATATGCTAGCTCCTCCCTTTTAAAATAAAGTTTTACATTTTTTTCTATTTCATATTAGGAAAATATATACATAAATATATGACGCTTATTTTTTTCTCTTTTTAATACTCGTAAAATGTAGTGATAGAATTTAGGATGAAAATCGAAAGGATTGCTAGATTGAGCAATAACACACTTAGGCCGAACCACATTGAAAGATTAAATCTAACCGATTACTTTGTTCAACTAAAGAACTTATATACCCAGTTTTTTCTTCACACTTTTTCGATATGGGACCAGGTCATTTTGAACCTAACTGGTCATTTTGATATGGGACCAGGTCATTTCGATATGGGACCACTTCACCCCTCAAGCTCACGACCAAGTCATTTTGAACCTAACTGGTCCCCCAGCAGTTGACATATGAGTACTACCAGGGAGAAATATCGATTTTGAAGCCTGGTGGCAGCGATGAGAAGCAACCATCCAAAGCATGGGTTTCTGCAAGTACCAAACACGGAATCTCACTCTTACGTCAACTGACTGAGATTATAGTTCAATTTATCTTCTTTCACCTAGTTGTCTTGGCCAGTGCTAAAGGGTCATTGGAAATGAGGTGTCATTTTTTATCAAATAAAAGAAAAAAGAGTTACAAAGTCATAACTCATAAGTGTGCATTAAAATCATAACCCATTCCAACTACTTTATCGGTCTATTTATTTATTGGACGGACGTGTAAAAAGACATATACTCTCCCTTGTTTCTTTTTTTTTTCTTCTACATATCGGTTTTGGAACACATTAATTCTAATTTTATAATAACCTCTTTCTTTCAAATTAATTAAAGAAATATTTGCACTAAATAGCACTAAAACTTAAGTCATTTTCCAAAATAGCACTTAAACTGTTTTATTCCTTAAATAACACTTAATAATGTCCAGTGATGGCAAACATTTATTTGAATAATGAATGACGGATAATGACTAAAAGTGTTAAATTGAAAAAAAAAATACATGTGATGCTATTTATGGAAAGTCATTATGTTTTAATGCTATTTAAGTAAATTCCCCTTAATTAAATACTCCGTAGCTTACTATCCTCTAAAAAAGAAATTAATTCGCTTGCTAACTTCAAAAACATTTTGAAAACTGTTGAAATGACGTTAAAAAGACATTGAATTGTCTAAAATGAATCATAAAAAATTATTTAGGCAATAGAGATTTTTTTAAAAGAAAAAGTGAAAAAATTATTTTGGGACAAATTAAACAAGAAGTGAGAATAAATACATTTTTATATTTTTTTGGCTAGCGGAGGGATCCAATTCTCAACAAGGTCAAGTTATAGAACTAAAAGTGCAAGTTTGAATTAATAAAACAAATTTACTTTGCAACAATATATTTTCTTAATAAAAATCTATGAATTTCGAAAATATAATTTTTTCGAGACAGTGGGAAATAATTTGCGTCGGAGAAATTTCATGTGTGTTTGTTGTAGGTACACTTATGCATCAAAGCATAACTAATTTTTCCCATTCTACGTCACATTTAATTTCGCATTCACCTTATATATATCTATACTCCCACCTGTGTTCTCTTTTTTCTTGTCCCATAAACTTTTTTATTTTTTTAAAAAAATTATTTTTACGTTTATTAATTTTTATCTTACCTATCACGTCGTATATTTTTACTAATAACAAATCCATGATCAAGGAATTCAAGGGTGTGTTTGAAAAGTCAATCCAAAAATATCTCTCTCTTAAATTCTAAAAAAAATCAATAAAGGAGACGGAGAGAATAGTACATTGTATATTTCTACATTCATGGCTCAAGGTTTGACACCCTTTGTATTGTTGGGTTTTTGGGACACCTGATTCAATTGAATTAGTTGCAACAACTACCAAAAATATATATATCAAGGTCTTTCCCTAATGGGGAAATGGGGCAAGGGATTGAATAGATGACACCAAATAATGTGTGGGGAGATGAGAAACTGCTAAATACAATTTCTTTATTTTTTATTTATGTACCCGTTGTAAAAATATACTCGTATTAAATAAATCTGATCAATAACTCAAGCATGCAGGACTGCAGGAGTATTCAAATAAGCAATCATAAGAGAAATTTACCTAAATAGGATTAAAACATAATGACTTTTCCAATATAGGACCATATATTTTTATTTCCTAATGTAGGACCTTTGGTCATTATCAATTAGTCATTATTCAAGTAAATGTCCATCATTATCAGACATTATTCCTCCCACAAGACATTATTAAGTCCTATTTAGGGAATAAAAAAGTTTAAATTCTACATTGGGAAATGACTTATGTTTTAGTCATTGTAAATTTCACATCATAACGACTATCATGAATCATTGATTGCAGACACATGTTTTTTGTCAAATGCAGAATGGTGCAGTGTTCCGAAATGTAGGAAAATTAATCGTTGAAATAACAATGTCTTGTCTGGTTCCTTTTGGAATTACTGACAAAATTTGTCGAACATCTCCACCAAAGATGATTGTTTTCCTCCAAAAGTTTTATTTTCACTCATTTGATAGGAAAATCGTAGAATATCAAGCATACTTTTATCCAAAGCTTTGTTCAAAGTAATACTTATGTGTCATTGGTGCTTCGTCCCAAATAATTAATTTTTCCATCACCAAGAGTTGTGCAAGTTGAGTTTCTTGTTTTATGTTGCAAGTAGAGTTTTCATCCCGAATCTACGAGATTTTAAAACGTGAATGAGTTGCTACGTTTTACCATGCAGAAAAAAGTAATGATGCTATTCTATTTGATGCAACATTCAGTACTATATCACCTCTAGACCGTATTGCAGCCGATAATGTTCTCTATACATACATCTTGTAGGTTCTTCCATATCCATAAAGAAAGAAAACCTTGACTGTATTTGTATCAACAGAATGCATTATAGCCTCATAACAAACCCAAAAGGGTGACATGCTTACTTTCCTAGGCTATACATTTGTATAGCATTTCATCAAATATCAATTGATTGGCTGGAGTCCAAATTCTGTGTAGGACAGAAGGTTTATGCTATACACTATATGTGCGAGTAAGTATAATAATAATAATAATAATAATAATAATTTATGATGTGCGAACCAATCAACAACAAATCGTCAACAAAAGGCAATGATTGTATTTTTCAAATCCTATAAATTTTTAATGAGAATTCGGAAATGATTTTCGTGATGTCTTTAAGCTTTGTTTTGCTAAAAAACTGTAGCATTTAAGGATGGGTGATAGCTTTAGCTGTTTGGAGATTGCGTTGTACTTTGACTTTCATCAATGCATAAACGGTGTTTTCCTTGAAGTTATTTCTGAAAGTGTCTATATTGGATTGTTTGATCCGTGCAGGAATTTGATCAATTTAGCATCATTAGGACGTTGAGAATGTAAATTCTTGAAGGATCATATTAAATAAACAACTATCCTTTGTATCATGAAAGATCACATTATAAGCAAAATAATATAATAAGGAAGCTGATAAATAATAATACTCCCTAGTATTTATAATAGACAAAATATTTTTGTATTCATTAATTACGTGAACGTAAACAATTCTACATTTAACATTTATATACGTTACCTTTATGTTTTACACGGTATGTACCTCATCATATATACACATACCATTTATTATATTAAAAAATATCTTACTAATTACAGAACATAATTAGTTTTACATTTAATATTTATATATTTACGTTATCTTTTATATTTTACACGGTCAAAGTCTAATTTATTTATTTATATTTATTTTTAGTTTCAGAGTATACCATTTATGAACGCAATTCATGTTACACACTACACTTATACTCCCTCCGTCCCATTAAACATAAGACTTTTGCTTTTTAGGAGGGATTTAAGGGGAGTGTATTTTGGTATTGAATTTTCAAAAATATTCTTTGATGTGATGGGTAAAAGTATGATTTGATGGATAGATTATTAGTAAAAAGGTATAATGTGATAGTTAGAGTATGAAAAAGTAAGGGGTAAAAATGACTTTTTAATAGAAATGAGAAGTGTTTTGTGAGACGGATAAAAAAAGAAAGGAGAAAGGTTTTATGGGACGGAGGGAGTAGTAAACTCTGATGTGAACATAAATAATTTTACATGGTCAAAGTCCCATCTAATTATATTTATTTATGATCATATTTAAAACACTTAGCATTGCTATTTTGCACCATATACCCAATTTGCACTGCTAACATTTTTAATCCATTATGTTTTTAACACTCACCATTTCTATCTCAAACTCATGGGTGGGAAATTGTCCAAAATTCTCCTCGCTTTAAATAAAGAATAGATATAGGGCATGTTTGAGCGTTAGAGATTAGCGTTAGCATTTTGGATAAAATTTTAACGGTGCAGATTACTTTGAAAACGCTAACGCAAAATGTTGCCCGTAGATAATCTTTTCATAACGCTAAAGCTAATAGCTAACGTTATTCCCAAACAGACCCATAGTAGATCCGTCATTGCTCTTAACACTTTTAATGCATGTTTGAAGCCTAATGATGTGATATCGAATGGTTGGAAGTAATATCACAAGCTAACACCTTGATATGTTTAATGTTTGACTTGGCACAATGCTAATAGCTCACTCAACTTCACTCTTGTGCATATAGCTAGTCGTAAATTTTTATTGCATGTACCTAAGATTGATGATTAACGTAGGAGTCAAACCATTATGGGCACGAGATGGAATAACAATTTAGCTTATACACTATTATGAAGGTGTTCTCTGCTGTAAAATTTTTTGTCCCATGTACCTGCATTGACCACAACATAAAAGGATAAGTATATAAATAAGACATGCTAGTTAAACATGTACAATAGTGTAA